TATTTTGTTTAGACTAGACTATAGTAAACAGAATGGAAGACTGCAAAGGCAGATTTACTTGGAGTTATTTCCAATTAAATAAAGCATCCTAACCCTCCCAAAATATCAGCTACCAAGTGCAGACATCTCTTAGGCTTTGTTTTCATTGGCTTTATTGGGTGATTTTCATACAGTTAGATACAAAAATTTAAGTGGAGATAGACATTCAAGTCAGCTAAGCAAAGTCACTCTTGCTTGGGGTACTTTTGCAGTAAGCCTTCTGCCTGGTCCTTACTATGCACTAACAAGTTTGTGGTAAAAGCATGTTAACTCTCCCCCAAAAAAAGAAAAAAAAAAGAAAAAAATCCCAAACAGCATTTTTTTTGGTCAGCCATACCCACTTTACTTGCTTAACATCTTACAGATAAGCAAAAACTGATTACATAAATTGCAAAATTGCACCCACAGTTTCAAATTTCAGGAAAGGATCTGTTTCCTTGCATGCCTCAAGTTCTGAAACTAGGCTGAAACTGTCAATCATGTCATTTGTCATGTTGATTATGATATGCTCACTTGCATGCTACAAAGGAGAACAAATGAGCTCCATTCCACCTTAGACGAGAAGGTAAAACAGGTTATGAGATGCGTCTGTGGTGGACAGCAATGATAATGGCTTCACAAACAGTGGAAATACACACCTGAGGTCTTATTCCAAGCAAGACTGAACCTATATTTCAGTTCTAAATTTTAAGCTTAAACAGTGGTCTGACTTCAAACTATACACTTAGACACTAATACAGCAAGCTTCACAAACCACTCTCCAGAGGATCTACGCAGCTTTTAGTCTCAGAGTTGAAGTGATTATGCCACTGATGAAGTTTCAGCATTGTCTCGTAACTAACATTACGGCATGTACTTAAGCTGCCTCTATAGTAATCTTGGTAATATTCTACTTCCATATGCTTCTATACTGAGGCACAGATGCTGGGGAGGACTATGCAGGGATGAGGGAGCAAGGGCTGCCACAGGGAAGAGTTAAGGAGGCCTCAGAGAAAACACTGTGCAAAAATCTGCTACCAGAAGGCACTATTCATCTTTGCCACTGTATATCTGAAACTTGCCAGCAAGAATAGTATCATTCTAGTGGCTAATCCTCATCAAATACCTTGAATCCATACTAAAAGTCATACTGAGAATCAAAATGTTACAAACTTGATGTCATACAAAACTGGAATTAGTGCAATTCTACATATGAGATTCTTCTTGATTATTTATTTATTTGTTTGTTTTTGTTTCATCTTTTACAAGCACGAAAGTTCACACAAAGCAAAAAGCACATTCAGGTTGCAAAGTCTACTATCTGTAAGTTCTGAAGCATTAAAGATTGTTTTCACAACTTTGACTTACCCGTTTTTACCTTTACAGAGATAGCAAACTGCACTCCAGTTAAGTTATAGGAGCACGGCTGGCTGGCATAATTGAGATTTCCAAAAGGTTTTCATGAGTAGCAGCAAGCTACTGCACAAAGAAAAGGATGACGGAAAAGGCAAATAATAGCCATGAATAAAATGTTATTGGAGCAAGAGAAACAGTATAAGACCAAATGGCTAATCTTTTATTATGACAAAAAGGTGAGTTCAAGTCCTTACTCAATTCAGTTTTATTTTAATATATTAACTCTGACCAGTGAGAGGAGAAATCAGGGCAGGTAAAGAAGAGTGAACTGCCAAAGTCTGCAACTAACAAAAATGTATTTGGGAAAAGGGAGATTTGTGGTGATTTCAGTTGCATGAATGAACGATGCAATGACAAAAGCACCTCAGCATCAAGACAAATATAAAGCCATGCACAAGAGAAACCTCAAACAAGCTACATACTCTCCCAGGTTGTTAAGGTCCTCTGCTTAGTATGTAGCAGTAGCCAAAAGTAAAGCCTAATTCTCTGGATTGCATATGAAATAGGTCAAGAAGCAATTTCAAAGACATATATTGTAACCAGAGGCATAACCATGCTGCATACAGTATACTAAGCATAAGTCACTTTTACTGAAAAATGGGATGCTGTAAGACTAAATAGACTTGGGAAAAAAACAAGACAACAATCAAAGGTTGGGAGTAATTCTCATAGGAAAAGAGATTGAGAAGACTGAAACATTTTTATCTCAGAAAGCAGATATGATGAAAGTATATATGAATGGTACAGAGAAGGTAAAAAACAGGAACTTCTGTTTTCTTTGTTTCAAAGCACAAGAGGATATTCAATGAAGTAAATAGATAAGAAAAAAAATCAAAAGTCTCTTTTATGTAATTCACATTTCAACATGGTACCCTGCCACTGACATTCATTTCAGAGTTTAAATACTATACTATATAGATACTGAACATTTATACTAGTATACAAACCATCCACCATGATACAAGTTATATTAAACGATTGCTTCAGGGCTTCTATCTATAACAGATTAGGATGGAACGTTTGTGGGAAAATATTACCTCACTTCTGCCTTCTGCAGCCTCTCCTTTTCCTCCAGAACATCTGAGATTAGTTAATGTCATGGATAAGAAAAGGTGAAGGTTGGGTGTGCCAAATAGCAACTCCTGTTTTTATGTACACAGGACAAATATATTCTCTGAAAGAACAGTTATTTGTAGCATCATTTTATTTGCCTCGTCAAAGGCCTAACTTGCTTAACTTATTGAATACTACTTAATTCTGTTTTGAATATAAAGTATAAAATTTTCTAACAAACATTACAATGGCACTTCAATATTCCACAAAGATCTGTGGATTTATTTTCATCTAGTCTTATGAATTGGGAAAACATAATACCCTCCATTTTATAAATGGAAAATGGGAACAGTGATAAAAAAATACCCATAAGGCTACGATGCCTACGTCTTGGCTGCCTGTAGGAGTTTGATATCAAAACACAGTCTTGGAGACTTCAGGAGTAGTTAGGCACACACGGGACCTCACAGCAAAACACTTGCAAGTCAGAAGCATGTAAGATATCACATGTGACAGCATGATACGGCAGAAACAAGCATGCATCACCACAGAACACAGATAAACCTCTGATACAGAGTGTTAATGCACAGTACAAAATCTAGCCCCTCCAATTTTACTTCTCTTCCTTCTTTGAATACAGTTCCACAAATACCTACAGCATGTCTACGCAGACAGATCCAGACAGAGCTGAACTTGCTCACACTAAACCAGGCTGTTCAAACCTGTTGGTACAGACCTATCTTGACGCGTATGCATATAGCGCTGCTTACCCAAGGAGCTGCACAGAAGCCAAAGTTGTTCAGGGAGAAGCACAAGATATGATTATTAGTGCTGATACAGCTCCAGCAGATTAAGTAATGCTAAAATCACAGCTTTGCCAACCCATGAAGGGAAAGGAAAAACTGTGGAAAGTTGTGTTTTTTTTACATATCAACAGCTTCTGCCTGCAAACACCAAAGGCCATCATCAACGTATGGGCCACCAGTTGACTGAACTCACTGAAAAAAAAATCAGGTTGCTCCCTATCCTTAGATTCAGAACAGGCAATGAGCTCACCTGCTATCTCTTTGGATACAATCTTCTTTCAGGTGTATCAAAGCTTTACTGTCAGAGAAGGCTAAAGCAGTTTGCTTCCAACCACGCTACTTATTAGCAAGCTTTACCCACTCTATCACTTCCAACACCTATCAGGGCCTTCACATGTTAGAATAAACTAGATTCTGTAGACAAGCCACAGGCACTGCTCCAACCTTGTCCTGGGGCTGCAGTCAAAACTGCACAGTGCCCTGGACACTTTCTGTCCCTCCCTCTAGTCCCAGCTATGGACACACTCCCTCAACACTTACATCTACAGAGCAACTTGGAAAACAGAAAAAAAAAAAAAAAAGGAAAAAAAAGGCATCTGTGGGTACGTTGTAACTGGGGAGCTGGGAATGAGTGCTCACTGCTCTGCTACTAGCAGCCCGACCCTCCTGGTCTTTACAGTCTCTCTGATTCATAAGCTGCCATATGTGAAGTCAAAAATCAGTCTTCCCTTTGGAGAAAATTCCAGCAGTTAGGACTGCTTCTAACGCTATTAAAAACAAGCTTCAGCTCGGTGCGAGAGTAAAGCATTATTTTTCCCCTCGTAAAGACGACAGAAGAAAAAGAGCAGAGTTCGGTTCCCCACTCGTCAGCAGCCCCAGGCGCAGCGAGCAACGCGGGAATCTCCTCGGATCCCTGACATATCTTTTGTTCGCTTCCCGTCGTTACTTTTTTGGCACGACCAAGCGTGGACGCTGAAAGCGCCGGTTTGAAGAGTCAGCTCTCACAGCTGGGGAGCCGGACTTTAAAAAAAAAAAAAAAAAAGAGAGAGAGAGAGAAAAACAAAAACAAAAGCGGTGCCGGGGAAGCGGCGGGAGCAGCCTGCGGGACGCGGGCACGCACGGAGGGCGGTTGGGCGGCGGGTAACGGCCCGGCTCGCACCGCCGCCGCTCAGTCAGCGCCGCGCTGTGAGTCAGCGCTCCCCCCACATCCCTCCTCCCCGCCAGGCAGAGCCGCGGGCCACGCAGCCTCGCCGCGGGCGGCGGAGAACCGGCCTTGTTGGCCGGAATTGCTCAACAGCCGCCCGCCGCGTGCGTCCTTCGCGCAGGATGTAACAGCTGTTTTATCTCCGGCAAGGTCGCTGTAATGACGCTACGTAAAAATAGTTACGAGGTGCTTGGGAGGGTTTGCTGTTGAAACGCGGCTGCTTCCCGCTCGGAGGTGAATGCTCGTCTTTGTGGACGCACAAGCCAGGAGGTGGAGGGGGGGGGGGAAAGGAGCGCTGTTTTGCCGTAGGACTCCGTGATTTCATCAGCCGCCAGCAGCGCTGCCCCGCAGCACGTGGCCCTGCAGCAGTACAACAAACACACGCGGTAGCGCAGCGCTGAGCAGCGCGTGGCTCTCCGCGCGCGAACCGTCCCCCATCCCTTCCCCTCGCCTCCCCCCATCGGCTCTGCGGGCAGCCCGGGGCACCGGGAGCGCGAAGCGGAGCCGCTGGCGGGTCGCGTTTGTCTCATCTCGGGAGGAAAATAAACTGTTGCTGCACCACGTGCTCGCCCGAGAGGGATGAGTCAAGCCGAGAGACTTTTTCTCTCGCTACAAGCGCGTGTCACAGCAACATCCACCGAGGGGCCGCCGGAGACAAACAGCCCGGTGTAAAAATAACCCCGAAAAGGACGCGCCTGCCCGGGGAGGGGGCGGCGGTGACACCGGAGGGGCCCCGCGGAGCCGGGCGGGGTGTGGGGCTCCTCGGAGGGCTCCGCACACACTCTCCTTTCTTCTCGGCGAAGGAGTGGGTGGTTCATCCGGCAGCAACAGGAGGAGGCGAGTCAAGGGCAGCTGTCAAAACCTCCCCCCTCCGCTCGGCCCCTTCTCCTTCCAGTTTAACGATCAAACAAACGCCTGCCTGCCTGGAAGAAAGGCGGGCGGGCTGCCGAGTGAGTGAGTGAGTGAGTGAGTGAGTGCGTGTGTGTGTGCAGGAGCAGCAGCAGCGTGCCCCCCGGCCCTCCCTCCCTCTTGCCGCGCCTGGGAGGGGAGGGGAGAGGCGGCGGGAGGAGGGAGGAGGCAGCGCCGCGAGTGCGAGCGTAGCTCCGGGTGACTCTGCCTCAGTCACTGCGGGAAGGGGGAGGGCGGCCGCGCGCACCTTTCCCTCCCGTGCTTTCTCCCACTTCCACGAGGAAGGAACAAAGGCGAAGCGAGCCCGCGGCCGCCGGAAAGCCCCCGGGGAGGCGGAATCCCGCGGCTCCCTGACAGCGACGCGGCCCCGCGCCGGCCGCCTGGCCGCGCTTCTTCGCCGTCCTCCTCCTCCTCGTCGCCGAGTTGAGAATCCGGGGAGCAGCGTCCCGCTTCGCCTCCCGGAGCGCGGCGATCCTCGCCGACACGATGAAAAGTAAAAAAGGTACGTGCGGGGCGCCGCTCGGACGCGGCGTGACAGCGAAGGCGGCGCGCTCTTCCCGCCCGCGTTCCCCGCAGGGCCGCAGTGGCCGTTGCCGCCGCGCGCCGCCGTTGCTCGGCGGTCGCTGTCCGCCCTCCCGTCCCGCCGCCCCGGTGCCAGGTCGGCGCGCGGCCCCGCTCTTTGTCTGCGGCGCGGGGACCGGAACGCGATCGCTGCTAAACTGCCGCTTTCCCCTGCCCTCGTAGTCCCGAAAAGAGGAGAAGAGTCGGAAAGTTTTCCCCGCGCTTAGGGTTAAAGGGAGGAGGAAGGCTGCTTCCCCCCACACCCTCCCGCCGCAGCGGGTTTTCTTTGTGTGTGGGTGTACAGACTGCAAACTTTCAGCTGGCGGCCGAGCTTGAAGTGCTTTAAATCAGAGCGCGGCCGCAGCCGCGCGCAAGAAGTTCCCAACTTGCGCGTCCCTGCCGTTGTGAGGCGGCGGCGGAGCAGCTCCGCTCGGCGCCCCGGGGCCGTCAGTCGTCTCGGGCTGTGCGGGCTGCCGCGCACAAAGGGACCCGGGGCACAAAGAACCAAGTTTCGGCGGTTCGCAGCCCTCGACCTCCTCCCTCCCCCCCCTTCCCCCCACTGTGCAGTGATTTGAGGGCACGGCGCTGACTCCTCGTGTCGCAGCCCTGAGGTAGGCTGCGATTCGTCCCCTCGTTTTAGGCACGGTGTGTTTTTCTCCTGTATGATTTCGCTGAATTAATTTAGCCCGGTTATTTTTAGGACATTCCTATGCTCCCTATTTGCACAGCAGTGGTGAGCTGGTTTCCTGTCTGCTGTTGCTTCCATTGTTCAGACCTCTCCCCGAGGGCAGCTGCTGGTTGCCGAAATACCAAACTCCCCACACTTTCGACTGTTGTTCTTGCCATCCCCCCCCGACATAAATGCGTGTGAAAAGTGCTGACGTAGTTTCTAGGTATGCATGTGTAGGTCTTTGTGCGAACGAGCCGCTCCGAGGGCTGGAAGTTGTGGGCAGGAACAATGGGGACAATGGGAGGTGACGTGCCGGAGGGGCAGCTCCGCAAAGGGGCCGGGGGCTCTGCTGGCACCGAGCGGGAGGAGGGGAGAGGGATGGGACGTGTACGAAGTGTTGGGGCTGGGGCCTTTGTTGTGTTCTGCTTGGGGCCGCCCGGCGTCGGAGCCTCCCTCAAAAGTTTCAAAGAATGACTTTGTTTCGGATTTCTTGCTCGCAGCCCTAGAAAAGTCCCGTTTAAAGAAGGAAAACAAACGTACAGCGTAGCCAAGTGTGGCTGCTTTCAAAGCGGCAGGGCTCAAGCTGTGAAACGCGAAGGGAAGCAAACGAGCTGGTTCCTCAATTATGAAACGTACTCAAAGGAAAAGTTTTTTGGTTTTTGTTTTTATTTTACAGTGGAAATTCCCTCGTGCATCTCTCATGCAGTTCGTGGTTACTTCTGAATAATTTTAAGCTGATTTATTTTTGTTGTTGGCTTTTAAATTCACATTAAACTTTAGTTAGCTTCCTTTATTTCCTTCTTTTTTTCCCCCCTCCCCCTCCTTTTCTCTATCAGGCTGCGGGTTAAAACCCCGAGGACTACTCGGTGGATGGTTTCATTTGCAAATAATAAGCTGATAGCGATCGCACGGAACATACTCGGTTTGTTAATTACCTTTCGAATACACTCTTGCAAAGGGCCAGGCATGTGCTCAAGTTGATACATGTGAGGAATCCTACCGAGCTTGGTTACGACAGGACCGGAGCCGTAGATGGGACCCGTCCTGTTTATCTGCGCTCGTAACAATCCCGTTTAAATTCGCTCAGCCCCGCCGGGTGGGGTGGGAGGCTTTCCAGAAGGTGATTGTTTTGTCTGCTGCCTCTCTGGAGGGCAGAGATTATTTCTTGTGGTAACTTTGTCCTGTTTTGAATAACAATTGGCCTGTGCCACTTCCTCTGCGAAGCTCTTCCTCGACACAATGGGACGATGGTGATTTTTTATTTTTTTTTTTTCCTAATAGCTCGAATTTGCTTAACTCCTGCTTCATCTTCCGAATACTTCGTCCTCCTCCTCGAGTGTTTCAACATGCCTTCTTAAGGAGCGGTGGTCCATTCTGAAATCAGCTTTAGTTATCGCTGGTCTTCTCAAGTTGTTTCAGAGCTGTTGGCCATCAGGTGCTGAGCCCAGGCTTATCCTTGGGAGCAGTCTGCTCTGCTGTTTCCAGGCGTCTCAGGGCCGTGACAGCACGCAGTGTCCAACCACCTACGTCTATGGCTGCAACTGGGGAGCTGGGAGGATAAAGTAATGTGATAGGAAGGGATGGTGGTCGTGTAGCTCTTAGCCTGTCGCTGAAGCCCCTTGGTGGACACATACTGCTGCTCATCGAGAGGTGGTGGTGGGGATGGAGCCCTGAGGTGTTATGCTCGTCCCCAGCCCTCTGCCGGCATGCCCAGGCTGCTTTGGCTTAGTCATGTGAAAGCAGCGTTTCTGTTTAGTTGAACGTGTTCGAGAGAAGGCAGAAAGTAACCTGACACTGGCTTGTTTTTAAGATGAAATAAATTAGTGGGTCAGCTGTGGCTGCTCGGCATGTCCACTAGTCTTTATTCGGGGTGTAAATAGCAGTAAGCCAATGGTCTGGCAGTGGATCCCGGCCAGAAACCTTTTCAGTTTGGCCCTGTTAAAACAGGAAACCAGCAGCGAATAGCCTGATTACTAACAAGAAGGAAAAACAAAGCTGGGTTGTAATCAGCAGCAACGCTTTAATGAAAACAGAGCCTTGACAGCAACAACGTGGCTCCCGCTCTAGTAAAAAAATATCAGCTGGGGCTGTGCGAGATTTCTCGCCAGGACTTCCTGTCGCCGCGCCGAGCGGAGCTATCTGCGCAAAGTTCAGAGGGCTGCTGCTCTATTTAAATGAGCTCATTTAAATGAGGAGAAGTTGTAACACACTGGGTTTCCTGCTCACCCCGACCTGCTCTGTGTCACTGACTTGCTCTGTCAATTCATATGACACGCCGAGTGAGCCGGCCAAAGGGCAGGCTGCGCGTTGACTCATTCCTTGCTAGGTAGGCTGTGGTTAGTCAGATGGCAACTTTTACTTTAGAAGTGCCATGGCAGAAGAACGGGTTTGCAAAACACAGAAGCGTTTTCACACTGCTGGCTTTTAGTGTTTTGCCACGTTTTATTTATTTATTTATTTTTTCCCCAAGTGAAAAAGAGCAACAGTTTTGAAGCAAGTTTTGCTGTCGAGGCAGTTTTCTCAAATTCAGAGGCTCCGGTGGAGTGCTTCAGCTGTATTATTAAGTCCTGGGGAAGTTAGGCCAAGCGGGGCGGTGGTGTGTCTGGAGGACTTGTCGTTATGCCATTTAAATATGGCTCACAGACTGTTAGACACCTAATTTTCGCACAGGAGTAGTTTCTTTGGCTCCTTATTTCCAGCTTTCACTGTTTTCCTCTCCCTGTTTTCCGGAGTCCCATCTTGCCTATTATATTTAAAAACAAACAAAAAACCCAACCCACTGAAGTGCTTCAAGACTTCTAGTTTCTGACAAACAAGGGCAGCACACTTGAAAACATTGTCTGAATAATGAAGGCTAGTTTTAGCTAGTTTTTAAATTCAGTTCGGGAGGCATGAGTTGCTTTGCAGAGCCATCATGCTGTCTGTGCATGATCTTTGTTCCAAGAAGTGCTACTTACGGCTCCAGAGAACCCCATTGTGCAAGACATGTTCTCAGGTTAGATTGCAGGCATGACAGCACTTTGCATGAAGCTATTACAAATAGAGAAGTGATTGCTCAGAATCATTTTAAAGCAAACTTGACATACTTTCTACATGAGTTCAGAACTTGTTTACATAATTTGGGATTTATCTCGTATAGGCCATTTAAATATTATCCTATTGTTCTTGTGCCATGACTGGATAATTTATGTGGCAAATCATCCCAGGAAAAGTTTGGTATGTCAGTTTGGTGTTTTGACGGTTCCATAAATCAGCAGTTTAGAGAAGGAAAACAATACTAAGTGAGTTACCGAAGTAACGATGCCAGACACTTTGCAGATTGATAGTTCTCCTGGGAATGCTTGTGTGTCAAAAATATGCATTGAGATCTGAGCAACTTAAACCGAATTTAAGGATATTGAAGCTTCTCGTAAATAAGAGGAAGAAAGGCAACAATTTGCAGTATCAGCTTTGGCTACGGTTCGAAGGTATGGGGGGAAATCCTACCCTCCATATACTCTGGGAAGTAATGAGCAACAGTTGCACACACCCCTTTCTTTTTTTCTTATTGCTTTATATAGTTGTGTGCTTTCACATGCACATGTATTAAATTTCAGGGCTAACTCTTTCCTTAAACAGAATCTTTGAATTATGGGTAGTAGCCCACATAATTTTTTTTTTTTTTTTTTTTTTAAACTTCTGACATTTAACTTGGCTTTTACTGTTAATGTTTTTAATTTTGATGTCATGAATGAGCAAGTTCCTTTTTCTTTCCCCCACTCCCAACATGAAATACAAATTACAGGAAGAGATTATGGGCTTCTTTTTCTTGACTTTTTTTTTTTTTTTTTTCTAGAAGACATTTCTGAATGTCAGTATGTTTTCACTTGAAATTAGTACTGGATTATTTTACAGTAGTTTGCTTCCTCAGTGCCTTGTATATTCTACAGAAGGAGGAAATTGTAGCCTTCCTAGCTGTTGACTATTAAATACTTTGTTTGTTTATTTTTATTTACCTAACATAGTGTCAAGTAGTGTGGTATATAGAAAGGGACAATTAATTGTGGTTTTTTTTAATGATTGCAGTTCTCTGATACTGAAGTGCAATTACATTTTAGAAGTTTATCACATGTCATGCTGGTATACTTGTACATGAGTAAGGCACCTGGTTCTTAGCTTATCCTGCACTTTTTGCTAAGTAAATATCCACTTGAGAGTGAAGGCATACACAGTTTTCCCTTTTTTTCTTTTCTTTCTCTGTAGATCCAAGATGAACTATTCATTTATAAAAATCTACAAGCTATCTCTCTCATGAGGGAAGCATCAGCATTTTAAGGGGTAATTAAGTAACCCATCGCTGGAGTTGGTATATGGCTTTTCAGTTCTTGTCTGTTGGCCCTTTGCCCAGCCCCTGGTTATCCTTGAAGAGTGCTGAATGCATACATACCATAGCAAGCAAATTTGGACAATATTGGCATTAGATAGAAGCTATCTGATAACAAGCAGTAGATAAAAGGTTGCTAGGGGAACAAAAAATGAGGGTTTACAGAGAATTCCCTTAGGAACGGCTCATTGGTGCTACTTTGTGTTCAACTGACAGTAAAGCTGCAGCTTGACAAGTTAACGCCACAGGACAAATCCCCCATAAAGCTGGTTGTGCCACAGTTCGTGGTAAAAGTGCTTAATACAAAACAAGTCTGAACCATGGAGTGCTGGAGCTAAGTAGTTTCCTGAGGTGGGAGGCTGATTATTTTTGTCTTCTTGTAATTGCAGGTGTAGTTGCAATATCAGGCAGTGAAACAGAAGATGATGACACTATGGATGTCCCACTGGATCTTTCCTCATCTGCTGGCTCGGGCAAACGGAGGAGACGTGGCAACCTACCCAAAGAGTCTGTGCAGATTCTTCGGGACTGGCTTTATGAGCACCGATACAATGCTTATCCTTCAGAGCAAGAAAAAGTGCTGTTATCCCGGCAAACACACCTTTCCACACTACAGGTATTCAAATAAAGCAGTTCTTTTTGTTTAGTTTAAGGGAACTGTTTTCCGATTTCTTCTTAATATACCTGTAGTCTAGTCACTGATGTAATGTTTGCACTGCATGTGATGTTTGCTGATTGTTTTTTTTTTTTTCCTTTTCTGCTTTTCTTTTTTTAATCATTACTTATTCCATTTCTGATGGCAACTTTAAAGGAAAATACAGATGAGTGGTGGGTTATGATGATCTTTGTTTACTGGGAGTAAAATGACATATTCGAGAGAACAGGCAGTTGTGAATTTGAATGTGCATGATAATTTCTTGCAGAATTGGGGCCCAAAAGACATAAAGTGTCAGTATGAGGTAATTTATTGTGAGGAGAAAGGATTCATTTGTCAACAGAAGCTTTATGGTGATAGATGCAGGGCTGAGCATATAACTCTGCCTCTAAAACTGCAACTTGAGGCCCATTCCCATAGAACGTGAACATCTATAATTATGTGTACGGCAAGTTCCATTAAGATCAGTGAAACAACTGATAGATATGGATAGAGCTACTCAAGTGCATTAGCATGGGTGTGATCAGGCTTTTATGTGGCTGGTTTTGGATTCTCACCCAGCAGCAGCTGAAAGGTCCCCTGGACTCATCGTTCTTACCTTTTTTGATCATCTTTGGTGGGAGTACTGTGAGCAATTGCTTATTCCCACTTCATGGAAGGCGGCTGCAGGAAAGCTTATGCAAAACCTGGTTTTGAGAGATGCTATATTTTGAGAAATACAGTGTTCCTGTTGGCTTCTGGGCTTCCCTCCTCCTCTCCCCCCCAGATTAATTCGTTAGTACAAAATCTGCAATTGGCTGTAAAGTAGAATTCCCTTTGTGTAACACCGTAAAGAAAACCTTCTTCATGTAGTAAACGGGAAAAAAAAAAAAGACGTTAAACTATAAACTATCCTGTATTGTCCAGGAAGCTGGTTTGATATTTAAACAAGGACAAACTTAAGTGAGGTAATTCATGTTATGTCTGTCGACACAGTCAGTTGAACAAGGAAAATCAGTAACTATTTGTGGGAGGAGTGGCCCTCTTCAGAGAGAAAAGGTTTTCCTGTTGTTAATTAACCTAAGCGCAGGGAACAATGGCTAATAGATTAATGTGTGTGCACAGGGTTAAAAGCTAAACCTCTGGGCTCAGGCTGGCCGACTTCAGATGTCCTGGGGCTTTCTGTAGAAGGAGCAGGAGCTGGGGGCAGAGAAGGGACAAGGGAAAAGGCCTTAACCAGGCTTGTCAGAGCTTGTCCTGGAGTCTCTTTTGTTCGATTAAGGAAACCGCTTGGAGGGAGTCATCAATCTAACCCAACAACTCTAATGGCACATAGTTGGAAGTGAATGAAGGTAAAAATTAAGATCTTGTTGTATTCTCAGGTCTGCAACTGGTTTATCAACGCACGCCGCAGGCTCTTACCTGATATGCTGAGGAAGGACGGCAAAGACCCAAACCAGTTCACCATCTCACGGCGGGGGACCAAGCTTCCTGAAGGCAGCATGATGGAGTCCTCCATGGGCACAAAGAACTTCCTTCCCTTGCTGGAGGAGAGCCCCTTCCTTCCCACCTCTGCCACGCTCAGCAAGACTGTGTCCTCTTCCAAGCCTGTGTCCCCAGGGTCTGTCCTGGCTCGGCCCTCGGTGATTTGCCACACGACTGTGACTGCGTTGAAAGATGCCCCTTTCCATTTTTGTCAGCCAGCTGATGTGGGCCAGACCACAGACCTGCAGCAGCCCTCAGCCAACGCCTTCACAGACAGCTCCCTCTCCTACCACGAGGATGCCTCTAAACTGGGACCTGGTGCGAATGCGCAAAGCGGGCTCTTTAACACTCCTCCTCCAACCCCACCAGACCTCAACCAGGATTTTAGTGGATTCCAGCTACTGGTGGATGTTGCACTCAAAAGGGCGGCAGAGATGGAGTTGCAGGCAAAACTCATGGCCTAAATCCCCTTCCTTCTCTTTCCCCATTTTGTTTTTTTTTTTTCCAGGCAGGGATCTAACAGCTGTGTGGTTATTGCCACCCACACAATATCAAAAGACTTAACTGCATTATTATTATTTTTTTTTATTAATCTTATTTGCACAAGGGATTGCTGAAATGAAGCTTCCTGTCACTGAGATGGTCTTCAGTGGAATATGGTCATTCCAAGAATTATAAACTTTAAAGCTACTGTAGAAAGAAAGGATTGTGTGTTTTTTGTTTTTTTTTTTTTGTTTTGTTTTGTTTTGTTTTTTAATATTTTCTTTGTAGGTTTTTCATAATGTGATATGGTTCCCAAGATCATGTGATTTGTTTTTTTTCTATCAGACTGTGCAATATCTAGTAATGATATAGAGTCTTCTTATCATTCCCATGCGGAACAGAATATACCGACACGCTGTCTAAAATAAATTTTCAATTTTTTTAACAATATGAACTTTGGATGATTATGCTTTTTTTCCCACAATGTAATAAAATATTTTCTTTAAAAATGGATGCATGAGGAGTATTTTGTTGCATACAAACTTTGCAGAAAACACAGCTTTACTCTCAAAATACACTGGAGTGAGAGAAATACTTTTTACCTAATACTGACTTTGTTTGGTGTAGAGAGCTACACTAGCAGCTGTTGTTAACCAGATGTTCAAAGGAATGCTGAAAAGTGGACCTGAAGTACCTGACAGTGTTCTGCTGTGTTGACCTTTTCAAAGAGGCCAAAGAGAGCAGTGTAGTCAGATTGCATTAAATTTCGGGAGGGGTGTCTTAGGCCCCTCTCAGAGCTGGAGTATTTTGGCTCCTAGAAATACCTTAGGGCTTAGGATAGGGGGCCATGGGGAGGTTTTTCTGAGGATGAAACAAAGAGGCCAGAAAAGGGTTGGGGTGAATATTTCTTTGTAAGTCATTGTGGTACAGCTTCTAGACATCTTTAAAGACTAATTTTGATGGGGTCAGGAAGGGCAACGCAACTTGTGATTTTCTTGGGCTAGCAATGGTAAGATTTTGGCTCTAAATCCAGTAGACTGTGAAATAGGAGAGTGTCAGGTTGAAAGCTGTGTTTTGGGAGCCAGATTATTTGTGGTATTTTAAACACCAAATGGATAGGTGATAGAGATCTCTGCTGTATTTGGGTGTATTCTGGCCAGTGGAATTTTCTGAAAAGTTATTTTTCAGAGGAGACTTTGGCTATCAGAATGAATTATTACTAAACACAAAGTTACATCTCACATTTCGACTTTTTTGGATATCTGTCACCCACCCTCATCTTTTTAACAACAGTGAAACAGGAGACCCTCAGGGAGAAAAATCAGTTCTGGCTAATCCAGTTGTCTGCTTGGTGACTGGGGGAGGATTTTGTGGAGCAGGAGAGCAGGCAGATGTAAGGGTATTCTTAGGAGTAGACACAGTGTGTGCTGTTTCGTTTTTTCTTTTTTTTCTTTTTTTTTTTTCTTCCTTTCCCTGTGGTTTTTCTTTCTGTAGGCAACAGAAAACTGTTTGTTCTCTGGAGTACTCTTTGAAATTTTGCTCAGCGTAGGACTTCTTTAAACCTTTAAAGTCAGTGTTAATGTGTTCAAGAAAAAAAAAAAAAAACACAGGGTCTTGCTCGTGTGCATCAGCTTTGCTAACAATAGAAACAATGCAGGGTTGTCCTCATATGCTGTGCAATTATATAATCAGGTTTTAATTTTTACAATACATTTTTAACTAAAATTAAGCTACCAATAAAGTTGTTGTGAGCATAGCCAGGTGTGGCTGTGGGTTTTATCTTCAAGTAATAGCACACAAGTCTAGAAAAGAGACTTCATTACTGTCCCTTTGCCTGGACATACTATTATTTATGCTCTTAGGCTATTTTCCTTGGGATACCTTGGCACCTTTTTATCTATTTAGAAGGAAGTTTTTCACTCAGAGGATGGTGAGGCACTGGAACAGGTTGCCCAGAGTGGTTGTGGATGCCCCATCTCGGTGCATTCCAGGCCAGGCTGTATGTGGCTCTGGGCAGCCTGGTCTGGTGGTTGGCGACCATGCATATGGTGGAGGAGTTGAAACTTGATCATTGTGGTCCTTTTCAACCCAGGCCATTCTATGATTCTATGTTTCTATGTTTTTGTGTATGTATGAAGTCACTGTTGAGCAAAAAGTGGGGGAAGTTGAAGAAAATCCTTTTGTGGCATAGATGTTTGCTCTCAACGGATGCTAGGCACCCAGAAAGAAGTGTTGTCCTTGCTAAGAGGTTCATAAGATACTTTCTTGTCCACATAAGTGTTCTATTGCAACATTCCTTATGCCTGTGCTTCAGGCGCTGCCTAAGAAAAAACCATCTCAAGCAAATGTTTTTTCCTTGTTTGAGTAGTTGGACTTTTTCCTTGTTCTTTCTTTTTCAAAGAAGGTTGCCAAAGTGCTGATTGGTAGAGAAAATGTAGGGGATCGTATCATCAAAGGGTATTCTCAGATCTTTGCTCTCCATTTATCTGCCCCTTAAAATAATAAAAAAGTCGAAAAGTTTAGGAAAAAAAAGTTTTGCTTGCTGAGCTGATCAGTTCTGTAATTCTGCCAGAGCATCTGCAGTAATTAAATGAAAATAGGAGGAGGAAGAAAACTTGCCATTCAGGTTAACAGTTTCCACTGAAAGTAAAAGCCTGTGGTCTCTGCTGTTGTCATTTGCTGCTCTGCCACACAAAGTGACACTGGTCTAACAACCAATGCCCTGCCCTTGTGATGAGCGCTGCGTTTCCATCTTGCTGACACCTGTCTGTGAGACTTTACTTGTGACCAATTTTGCTCAAGGCTGATTGTTGGTTTTTTTAATTATTACTTGGATTAAGGCTACACCTAGAACTGCAGCCATAAGCCAATGGAGTAGCACCTGGTGCACAGTGAAATGGCTTTCCCCTCTCTGCAGGTGTTATTTTACTTGGAGGAATGAAAATGACTCACTGAGTATCCACTAAAATAAAAGTAAAGGCAGTTTCTGCTTAGTGATACTTTGGTTCTTAGACTGTTAAATTTTGCCCAAATCTATTCTTTCAGAGCAAAAACTTGTAGTTAACTCCAGATAAAATTATCAAAGGTACATTTTGGGCATCAGGCAGAGCTAGGGTCCAGAATGAGGAGGAGTCCCAATGACTAACGAGTGCAAGGTTGCCTGTGCCAGCCACTCATCCCTGTGAGAACAAAGGGAAAGTTTATTTCTGGAAGCTTGTTTGGCTGTGGAATAGGAAAAAAAGAAGAAAGCAGTGAAAAGAAACAATGAGCCAACAGGGGCAGTTTTGCTGTTCTTGCTGCTGCGATAAACCTAATTGTGAGGCAGATGTCAAAACCCAAGCTCTGCCTGCATGCACCAACTGGGAATGGCTGCTAATGCAGGGCCAGCAGTGCTGTGCCGTGCCGTGCTGTGCTGTATGGAGAGTGTGCTGCTGGCCAGAGCCCGAGTGACCCAAGAGAGCAACAAATATGAGACAGTTTGCCAGGAGACTTGTTTTCATGGCAGTTGCGTCTTGTAAACAACTTGTGGCAGCTGCACGTGATAAATCCCAGTGCAAAGCAAGGATAATTACAATAGGGAGGGGATCTTGGGACTGGCAGCTGTGTGTGTGAGTGCATGGGGGGCATCCCATGGGATGCTGGGGGGGATGTGGCACATCTACTGACTTTCGCCATGAGGTCAGCATCTGTAACACGCTCAAACAGCTGGGGCACTTGCAATGCTGCATGTCAAGGTGTGTTTTTTCCAGCCATTTTTCTTGTTAGCACTTGAGAGTTGCTCCCGCACTACTTCCTAACTCTTTTAAAGCTCATTTGGTTTTTCTGTTTTTTTCTTCCTCTTCTTGGCATATTGCATTTGTCAACTTTCCCTGTGGCTTTTGCCAAGTAGGGATTATTGGCGCAGACACAGCTCTTGTTTGCTACTCAGGACATGACTTTTTCTAAGTCTTGTTCAGCAGCTGCCAGAGACCTTACGTCTGTCCCGTTTCCCTGGGTTAGCCGGCTCTTCTCTGTGAGCTCCAGTGTTCAGACTAAAGGAAAAGAGCTTAGATGAGCCACTCACTCTAGCAAAGCGTCACTTTGAGCTGTTGCTATTCCAGACGTAGTAATTGCATCCACATGTGCTGTGTGCCATTTGGCGTCTGCTCTGCTGCCTGCCATGGCAATGAGTTCGAACACAGTCACAAGAAGCAGACCTGGCTACACTACAGAGTCAAAATTCAGACTGTCTTCTGTGTCCAAGTTTTGCACCCCTCTCTGCCGACAGCTCAAAGCCATGGCATGCACTTAGCAGTTTTGCTCACCTTTCCCTCTATGGTTTCCCTTGCCTTACAATTCACTCCACTCTCTTGGCTCTGAGGAATGGGGTCTGTGACTACCACTGGCAGATATCATGGGTCTGGCTGCACAGATCGCAGCCTGGGCCAGCTCCCCACAGCAAAGTAACCGCACACCCCTGTGCAGTGCTGCAATGTGTGATGTTAACCCCAGCTCCCACAGCTGATGAGATACGAGTTGGTCACAAACACCTCCCAGCTCATCCCTGTTTCACTGGACAGCATGGTTTTGGCTGGAATTCATGTCAGGGTTGTACTTTCAGCTGCTTACATAAATGCGTAACGAACCTACAGATGTGCACATAGGTAGCAGCACTTTGAAATGGTGATTTAAAGGAGGGCAAGTAGTGGCTTGTGAGCATGGGTTGATTGTGTGCAGCTGGCAGTTTTCTGTCCCTGCTTGTGTTTGGGCAGCTTCCTTTGGACCACAGAGCTGGGTTGGGGCTGTTTCCCCTGCCTCAAGATGTGTAGTGGCATCGGCCTCATAATGAAGAATCCTCACCTGTGCATTTACAAACTGCAAGTATTACGTTGTTAACCTTTGTCAAATTGTTTGGCAGAGAACAGCTCAGCCCTAGTGCTGTGGGTTTTGCAGCACAAATGTATGTTTGCATGGCTTCCCTGAGTCTTTTCCCCTCTATATTTTTGCTGTGCTGCTGGAGAAACACTGCCCTGTTGGTGTATATTACCTAAGCTTCTCTGTCAGCGGCATTTCATGGGTTGGAAGGGTTCAGCTACTTTAGAAGAAAGTTAGTCTCTATCATTATTAAGTAAATAACTCCCAATTTGAGACCCCTGAAAACAAAAAATCACTTGACTGGTTGTGGGAAGAATGTCATATCCACTACCTTCCATCATGAATCTGTCTGTATAGCTTGCCTTGGAAATAGGTCTGGATCCCAGACACAGAACTGATGGTGAAGATCACAAGAGTTTTGTAATTCAACTGAGTAAGCATTCAGTTGTTTTGCCAGAGCCTATAATTTCACTTCCTTTTCCAGCCTGCAATGTTCTGATTGCCTGACCTTATGCTCGATGTCTTACTTCGTTTCCTTCTGGGCTTGTGGTATCATTCCTTGTTTGAACTCTCCCTCTATCTTCTCTCTGCCTGTTTGACTGCTGAGTGCTGCATGTAGCTCCTTTAACTAGGTGAGAGACTTT